GTCTATTCATGTCTTTTGCCCACTTTTTAATGGGGCTGTTTGTTTTTTTCCTTTCGGAGCGTTTGAGTTCCTTATAGATCCTAGATGTTAGGCCTTTGTCAGATATACAGTTGGCAAATATCTTTTCCCATTCTGTGGTTTGTCTCCCTGCTCTCTCTTTTTTTTTTTTCAAGCTGATGTTACTCTTTATTGAGGGAGTGGTGGGGTATGCACTTGAAGGAATGGGGGACAGTGGGAAGACAGGAGCCATCTGCTGTCAACAGTGGCCTCTGCATCGTTCTCTGTCTCCTGGTGCCCGAGCAGGGAAGAGATGCCAGCCAAGGGAGGGAACTGGTCAAGGGGGTGGAGAGGGGGTTGGCTTGGCCCAGGTGATGCAGACCCCTAGGCATTCTGACAGCTGGATTTCATCTAGGACATTGTGCCCAGCCAAGGAACATCATAGATCTGAAATGAGCAGAACGCCTTCCTCTTCAGATGCGGCTGCTCATGGAAAGGACAGTTCTCCAGGTGGGGCTGGGATTTGGTGCAGGTGGTTCGGCCCAGCTCCACGTCCAGGAAGTAGTTCATGCCCGCCACAATCTGCTTGCGGGCGTGCACCAGCTGCAGCGGGCGGCTGTGGTACATGTCGTTGCTGCTCTTGTTGTACTCGCTGACCGCGAAGTCCAGCGCGCGCTGCACGCCCTCCTCGTTCGCATTGGCGTCTATGAGGCCGCCCAGCCGGCGCTGGGGCTTCTCTGGGTTGTTGCCGATCGCGGGGCTCACGGTCAGGGCAACGGCCAGGACCGCCAGCAGGAGCAGCGATCCCCTGCTCTCTTGATGGTTTCTTTTGCATTGCAGAAGCTCGTTAGTTTGATGAGGTACCACTTGTCTATCTTATCTCTTAAGGTGTTGACCTTTAGGGTTCTGAATAGGAATTGGTTGCCAGTTCCAATTTCCATAAGGGTGCCTCCTGCGTTTTCTAAGATTCTTATAGTTTGGGGTTTTACGTTTAGGTCTTTGATCCATTTAGAGTTAATTTTTGTGTATGTGATAGGTAGGGATCCTGTTTCAATCTTCTGCATGTGATCAGTCAGTTTTCCAGCACCATTTACTGAATAGGT